GGTAGTGTTGAAGAGGGCACAGCGATGAGAGTCGCATCAATGCTCAAATCAACGGGCAAGGAAGGGGTCCCATTTCTCGGGTTCTGGGCCGTTTCTCATGGTTCTTCCTTCTTTCGTGTACCACTCACCATCCCTAGGTTAATTTGAAATGGGTTGCTTTTTCATCGTGAATTCGTCCTTTAAAGGAAGCGATTACGATAAAGAGGGAGCGCATCGGGGAAGCATATGCACCACACGAATCAGTTACTTGGCTGCCAGGAAGCGAGTGTGGCGCTTTCACAACGAAAGGTGCGCTGGTTGCTGAGCAGGACTTCGAAAGCGCTCCGCCCCCAAAAGCGATCCGCCCACTAGTTTACTTGTTGATTTGGACGAGCTGCGTTGCCAGCAGCGGCGCAAATGGAGCATCTCGATTAAAGCGTGGTTTGGCATGGTGCCATCAAACGCGTTGCGGTGAACTCGTTCATACGTCCACTTTCTGAGCTGTTACCTGTTCATGAGTGAAAACCAACGGCCAAAAAAGGGTCCCGTTTTGCGTTTTCTTGACGGATTTTTCTGCTTTTTTCGCTACTGGCGTACCATTGAGCACCACCACGTCACAATAACCCTTCTTGAATTTATCGCGATCACTGTCCCTAATGCTTCCATTGTTAAAGCTTGTTGAATCTTTCGTTGTTAAAGCTTGAGCTTTAAATAGACACACGTTCACATACACGCAACAGAAGCAAGAGATGAAAAAAGAAATTCGCTGAAGAAATGGATTCTCGCTGAAGAAATGGATTTGATTTTTAACACTTGTGCAGAAGTCAGAAAGATTTTGTAGATTTTCCAAACAACGAAAGTGGTTTCTGCGCACCAGATTCATAAGAAATAGAGAATCTTGTATGAAAGTATCCAATTCCTTCCTTTTCTTGGTACACTTGTGCTAAGGCGTTGATGAGATGCATCAATGCAGAAATCAACGAGCAGCGAAGGGGTCTCATTCCATGGGAGGTCAGAGTCTTCTTATGGTTTTCCTTCATCCTTACTCCATTGACCACGTCTACCTTGATTTTTAAGTGGGCGCCTTTTCATCATGAACTCTGCCTTTGGAATATTCGCGACAGTGCGCGCCCACCAAGGGAAACTTACTATGAACCACGAAATTTTTGAAAGGTTGCAAATTCGAGCCTAATTGAGCGACCTATAACATTGTACTTGATGAAAATTCGCAGAAGAAATCCAAAAAATACCTTTGAAAATCATTTGGAGAAGTTCTGATAATGGAACCTAACCCACACTTCAAAAAATTGTAATTTCCAAGAGTACGCTAATTTATAATACTTTCGTATAAGTAGTTCAGGGTCTGCTCAATTTATTATCTCCCAGTCATCCCATAATATAAACGAATTGCTGCAAATCCACTAAAAGCGTAGCCTACACGAGAGCAGAATTCGACAAAGCAGAAGATACCTAATACGACATTGTACGAACGCCGGTGTGTCCGTCCGTCCCCTGTCCCCTCATTCACCTGCATAAAAGATGATCACGGGTAAATAGATCACCATTGGTTACTTGAT